AAACCCACAGGAAACATTACAGTGTTGTTCCTTGCTGGCCTACTTTCTTCTCTCCACCTTTCTGAGTCTTCTTATGTTTGTTTTACATTTAATGTCCAGGGTTTTTAGATGCACTTTGACTAAGAAACAGTGAAAAGTGTATTTAGTCCATCATCTACTCCATCTATTCAATCAGAAGTCAAAATTACTGGTCCATTTTAAAAGTAGTTAATAAGCCTCTGCAGGCTTTTTGTTTTTCTTTCAGTTAACTTGAATAAATGACGTTTTTCTAGAACATTATCTACTTTAAGTCTTCAGATTTATTGGCATAAAATTGTCCACAGCAATTCTTTCATTTTAAAGTTTTATAATATTCCTATAGTTATATCTCCTTTTATGTTCATCATTTTAGTTCATTTGCTTCTCTCTCCCCCCACCTCCTCTTGCTAATGGATTGAATATAGTTGTCTTTTCAAAAGATAAAATTTTAGATTTGGTGATGCTATACTTTAACTGTTCTGTTTCATGAGTGAATTTGCTATTGCTGTAATAATAATGCATAACAAACCAAAACTCTGCATTTAAACAACAAGCTTTTATTTCTTACTAAATAATTTGTAAGTCAGCTGCACTCAGCTGAGCTAGGCTGAAATCCAAGCTTTCGAGTCCAAGTTGAAGGTTGTATCCGGGTCTTATCTTCCTTGGACCAGCAGCTGCCTGTGACATGTTCTCTCAGGATGAATGACAGACATACAAGAGACCAAACTACACTGCACAAACATATTTAAGTCTCCTGTTCCCATCAAAATTACTCACCTTCCACTGGCTAAACCAAGTTGATGATGAATCCCTTTTTCAATGGGGCAAAGAAGTATATTTTGCCCAATAACTTCGCAGTATCTTCCCATTGTGGGTAAGGGGTGTAAATGTATAATCCTATTCTAGAATAGAGAAGAAGTGAGAGCACTAATCCAATGTACTGCAATTAATTAAGATATTATTTTATTATCCCGCATACAATTACTTTGGACTCTGTTCTTGGTATAATTTCTTGAGTTAGGTAATAAATTTTCGGACTTCTTGAGCATATGAGGCTATAAACTTCTTTAAAGACATTTCTTTAGCTGCATCCCACGAGTTTTGACATGTAAATTTTTATTATTAGTTACTTGAAATAATATCTCTTACAGTATGGCCTTTAACCCAAAACTACTTAATGGTGTAGTTTTAATTTTTGAAATATATTTTTTATTATCTTTTTGTTATTGCTTTCTAACTTAATGGTAGTGTGGTCAGATAATGTACCCTGAATATTGATTCTTACGGTATTTATGGAGGGTAGTTTTGCAGCATAATATGCAGCTAATTTTCATAAATGTTCCATTGGTGTTTGATTAAAATTTATATTTCTTAATTTGGTATAAGGAGTTCATGTAATCAACAGCTTCTAAACATTTATTAAATTTTAATTTGCTTGATCTGTCAAAACTATGTTTAAAAAATTTCCTTCTATTATAGACTTAATATTTTCCCTTGTAGTTTTCTCAGATTTTTACATTGTATATTTTGAGGCAATGTTTTAGATCTATAATAGTTAGAAGCCATATCTTCCTTATGAATAGAAATTTTATCATTATGGAGTGAACTCCTTAAAGCAAAAAGCACTTCAAAAGATAAAGTCATTGTCTCATTTTGAGATAGCTATACCAGCTTTGTCCTGGTTAGTGTTTGCCTGATGTTATTTTTTCTATTCTTTTATGAGTGGTCTTTCTACTCTTTTATGTTTGTTTCACTTATCTGTTTAGCTCTTTTTTGCTTCACATTTTAATGTAATGGAACCAAAACATGCTTCAACTTTTCATAAACTATAAAATAAACAAAAGGAGCATATAAAAGGAATTTTCACACATACACTTCTAGGTTGGGTAAGCTATGGCATACATTCAGAGCACATAATGAAAATAAGTTTAAAAGTAACTTAGTCATTTAGGAGAAACCAAATTCACTTAGAAATGTCATGGTGTATACAGTGAATAGTTGAAATCTAGTGACAGCTTGTTCATATAAGTATTTTTCAAATGCCTTCCAGGAAGAAAAGCCCAATATCCCTTGTTAGAAACTCCTTTCCATTAACTTTTAATGCTCTGTGCTTTAAAACTAACTTAAGTTTTTATTCCCTTGAAGCTAATATTGTTTGAAGAATTTGATTTAAAATTTTTCAAGAAAATGTAAAACCTTTTTTTAAAAGGGAAGAGATGGTGTAGGGATAATGCAGCCAGTCAGGCTCCCTCACTGGGATGTCTGGGCAACCAGGATTCTGCAGTGTTCACACAGCCTTGAGTGGGGGCCCACATGCACAGATTTAAGTGCTGTTATATAACCAGGAGGTCAGATACTGGCCCCCTGCCAGTTTTGTTCCCTTAGTATGTAAGGAAGTCAGGACTTTATACCTGTGTGCATGGCTCACCCCAGCCCGGCATAAAGGCCTGTCAGACATTACAATGGCTCCACGTATTTTCTTCCAACTGCCCAAATCCCCTGTTAACCTGCCCAGCCTTGAACACTTGCAGGACAAATGGCGTAAGCTAGTGTTGCCATGATTGAAGATTAATACTGAAATTCCACAGCATCTTCGGAATAAGCTATAAGTTTAGCAAAACAATTGCTTTCTCGTAAATAGAAAATAAAAATAAGAATAAAATGCATTATTTTGACACCTTCAAAATACCATATGTAAGATATATACATCCTTGCTGCTACTCCGAGTTGCTTTTTGTGTTTTTTTTTTCTTTTAAATATAAACCTCTGGGACAATTTCAGCTTCTAGTTCCCTGATTAGTCTGTATTTCTTCCCACTCTGCAATAACTTCTGACAATGAGAAGGATTGTCGATTTTCATGAATTTCTTAGAGGAGTTCTTTACAGACTTGGAAATATCCTTGATGAAGGACTCATTACTGCCTGCCATGTACATCGGAAAAGACAAAGATGGATTATGATCGATGTCTTTGGATGGAATCCAAATACATTTCTGGCGGTATGCTGTTTCTTTACTAGGAAAAACAGGTCCCACGGGGAAAAGAGAGCTCCCATGCCACTAACAGGGCTCCAGAATTTTTAACGTGTAAAACTTTAAATGGCATTTTGGTGTCACAGTGACCCAGGCAGAAAGAATGTGGAAACTGAAGGGAGGTCAGTTTGGGTCACAGTTAACATCACACAGAGGTCCACCGACAACCCAGCACTTAACAGCCAGATCTGTGTATTTGCTCCAGGACAAAATGCAATACTTGATGTCAACTTTCCTGTTAACCTCAGATATCAGAGAACAGACCCGCTTCTGTGCAGTGGTAAATTTCCTCTGTGTCCACCTTTGGTAAAAATTGTTCCTGGGAAAGAAGCCTGGAGGTCGTTTTGTACACTGTTTATTTTCAGCATACAGTGTTCTCAGTAGGGTTGGATTTCATCAGGTTCTGAATTAAAATGATCCATGGGCAATTCTTTATCTTTCTGTCCTTCAGCAAAGTATAGATGCTTCCTCAGTGGAAGGGTCTCCTACTTCCCCACCAGATTCACTTTCAGAACCACTGTCCTTTCCTGGTGTCAAGTCCTTTGAAGTATCTGGGCAGGGGCTAAAGTGATCTTTTTCTTCTGAAGAGGCACTGTGATTATCATCAGTTGGACTTTTGTCATTTAATTGATTGGTGGCAGTGTCTGATGGCATTCCAGGGACAAGAAGAAATAACAACATGGTGTTGGCAAACTCTTTGCAGTTGACTTTCTTGTTTGCCGTTTAGGTGACATTTAAGGGATGGGACACCCCAGTAAGTGAAAGCTTCAGGATATGTCTCAGATTTCTGAGGCCCGTGTGAGCTTTTACATGTTTACTGTGTTGCTATCAAGTCCATGTAACTTGTCACATGTGTGTCATGATGTCCTGATTTAGAAAATTGAAAGCCCCTTGCCATCACTGTCTCCCTCTAAATTTTAAATGCCAATATTTTACCCTCATTCTTATTTGTTAGCTTTCTCTCTCCAGCTCACTGCATCTTACTTGCTGTCTTCTGTATGTGCATTCACACTCCCTGCTCCCTTCAACACCGCCTTTTTTGAGTTCATCTCACATTCAGTCCCTTAACCCACTCCATTTTATCCAGATCTATCAGCTCACTTCCAAGTACCCTTCTTCCTCCATCCATCACTTCAAGCACTCCGTTACCCTCAACTCAAATACGGCCCAGTTGTCCTTACACATATGTGATAAACCTCCAACTTCAGATCAGTCCCATTGTTCACTTTCTACCCTCCCACCATCAGCCTACTCTGGACTGCTTCAGACAATCAAAACCATGAGGCATGATGCCACTACAAATGTCTCTGATCTAAACTCCTCAGGGCCCCAAGCCAGCATAAGCATATCCTAACAAATCTATCAACAGTGGCTTCTCACGTTTTCTTCAGAAATGAACTATGGTAGACATTATTGGTTGACTTTCATGCCCCAGTTTTCCTCCCAAAGGCCCTCAGGTTTTTCTTTGAAGAAGTGTCCCTTCCCCATTCTCATTCCTGTCTCCAGGGATGGGGCCAGAAGGGTTTCAGCTAATCAGCATTCTTATTCTTCTAGCCACAGTGATTCATTCATCACAAATAAACACACCACCTAATATGGGCCAATGGGACAATTGTAGGGGCTTCCAGGAAATAAGAGTTCTCTCTCTTCTGCAGATCTGCAGAGGAAAGCATCCCCCTTCTGGGTGTTGCACTATGGATTATGGTGTCTGTGACTGCTGCAACATGAAGGGCAGGGTGGACAAGAGAATTGCAGAAGCCACATGGAATCCTGAGCTTCTGGGTCAAACAATGCCTACATCCAGGTCTGCCTTCAGACTGACCATCCAGTTACATCAGTCAGTAAATGTCCTGGGTTTTCTCTCTTTATTTTTTAAAGCCAGTTTGTATTGAGCTTTCTATTCTTGCATTCTAACTCATGCTTCATTCCAAAATTTTACCTTTTTCCTCAATTCACCCATTTTATTCCACTCCCAGAAAATGATCTTGCCTTCTGGTTCAAAGAGAAAAGAGACCAGCTAGCAGTAATGCCATCAATTATTTCCCTTGCACCTCCAGGTGTTTCTGAATTGGAACCTGTCTTCTTGCTTCTAGTTCTTCTCTTCCACCTTCTCAGGAACTCAGCTTCTTCTGTGCCTGTCTTCTTTCTTTCCACTAGTTCTTTTCATTCAGCTTTCATTCTGGTTCAAGTGTTTCTAATGTGAAAGCAGTTATAACCTTTCTCAATCCCACCTCCTCATGTTCCTGTCTCTCTCCTATTCTTCTCTGCTGAATTTCTTGGGGGTAGAGGGAGGATGTACGATCACAAACACTTCAGTGCTTGATGAGGATCCATGGAACATTCAGGAGTTTCTGCCCAGTAGGAAAGTTTGCAGAGGAGCAGGGTAGAGCTCAACACAGAAGCCTGGGCAGGAGACACAGATTGGGGCACCACTGGCATTTGATAAATGGAAGCCACTGCAATTGGTAGGACCTCCAGCAAGTTTAAGGAATGAGACTAGAAGAGGGCTGAGGTGGAGCTTTGGGGGATGTGGATGCTTACAGGGGAAGTGGCAAAAAAGGGCATGTTTGAGGGAGATCATGACAGAAAGTTCCATGGAAAGGAGGAAAGAGAGAGAAGTCCATCTCAGAAGCCAAGAGGAGTGTGCTCCAGGGAGGAAATGGTCAGTCAACTGCTACTGAGAGGTCAAGTATGACAGGACAGGATTGCTGGGTTTGACAGTATTTAGAGTTTCCAAGTGGCCGGGAGAGAGGCCAGCTTTCAGTGGGGTGTGAGAGTAAATGAAAGGTAAGTAGGAGGAGGCGAAAGCAACTACAGATGATTTTTTTTAATTTCCAACTCTAACCAAAATGCAGGTCTGGCTGTCTGACACTACGGAAGTGGCAGGTGCTGATGTAAAGGAAAGTGGTTTATTTGCAGATGCTGGCCATCTGGAAGATAAGGGACTCATGTCACAAAGCCCATTTCCACCTCTCCGTGGAGGCAGAGGTTTCTCTAAGGAGGGAGAGGGAAACAAAACAAAGAGATCAAGGGAGGAGGTTGCAAAATCTCTACATACAGATGAGCACAGTCTGTTCCAATAAGGCAAGTGATGGTTCTGTGTGCATTGTCCTGCTTTAGTCATCACTGGTTCACATCATCCTGGCTTCACATCATCCTGGCTCCATGGTTGAAGGTCAGCAAATCTATGGGAGCTGGAATGCTTGATGGTCAGGGTCTGTGTGTTCTGCAGTCAGTTCCTTGAATTCTTATACAAACATGCTGTTCATCTACAAGCTACATATTAGTCAAAGTCAGCGCTTACACAAACAATGTCAAAAGAATGGTGGGGTGGGTTATAATATCCTACCATTATAATTTTCTACTATTACACAGCTATCTTAGTTTTTATATCCCCAAAAATAGACCCTGGATAGGTACTTGGATGCAGGTAGTCTATTCAGGAGGTGAACCCTGGAAGCGAATTTGGAGTAGGGGGGCAGGGTAAAGGAAAAGACAATACAGGTGGCCCTAATGGATAAGAATACCAAGCACAATGGGTATCATGCCACTTCTCCCTCTGGGTGCCCATGAAGAACTGTGTGAACTAGGCCTTGGAATGGTTCTCCTGGACATGTATCTATTGACTCTCGTGCCTTGTTGCTTGAAGGCTGCCTGTCAAGGCATCCTGCCCACCATTGTTCATCCCCTCACACTTGCCAAGAGAGTTCCTGTGCAAACAGAAGAAAACCCTCAGGCTCCAGGTATGAAGAATTCACTGTGCTGTAGCTAAAAACCTTCTGCTGTGAACATTGGAGGGTCCCCTGAGAATGAGGTGGGGCATAGGTCCCACGTCAGCCACAACAATCCCTCCCATGGTCCCTTTACCAAGTCACATGGCTAAGACAATAGACAAGCATGTAATTCAAGACAGGCATGATCTAGACTTTTAGCACAACAGATAAGATGAGAAATTCAGTGTTCCAGCAGGAGATTAATCCTTGCAGAGGATGGAGAGATTCAACTAAGTTGCAGATAAAAACTTTTTCCAGATTCATGTTCTTTTCTTGAAATGGATGCCAGAATTAGGGGCAGGATCAGGGAGAAGTGTAGATGTTATTGTAATGCTCTGCCCTTTGACCCTTTGTTGCAGAAGACAGGGGAGGGGTAGGGTCAAGCCCTTGTTAGGTCATCTAATTACATTGTTTTTCTCTATGACTGAGCTCTGTATATTCTATATTAAAGCAGAGAGTCCAATGATTTAAACTTTCTTGCATGCACATGTACCAGCATTGTTTCTCATCATTTGTTGATCATACACCATGTGTTAGGAGTAGGAGGAAAAACAGTTTGCCCTAAAGCAATGAACCTCAGACCCAGCCAAGAAGTGGCTGGCTGCAGGACGGTGACAATATAATCTTGAAAGCATGGAAGTAAGAAGAATCGGCCCTCTCTATCCTTGTCTTTCCCCAAAGGTCAAGGGTAGAAGGAAAACAAGGTGTGGTTGGGGAAAGAACAAAGTAGAAAGGCTGGAAGTGCTTAAAGCTTTGTCAAGTTGTGACTCCCATGAATAATCTCCACTTGCACAGCTAGGTGTCCCTTTTATGGTATCGTAGAGGCAGAATTATGAGGGCACATACATGCCTTTGGAACACACATTCTGGGTGAGTGGAAACAACCAAAGAATGGCAGAGCTTGGTGACTTAAGGTGGACTCGTGGGAAAAGTGATACCCGTGGTGGCCATGGGAAGGGAGGTAAACAGTTGGACACATGCAGTCTTGGTTCTGCCCTAGATGACCTCACTTTTAAAATCTTTGCCTAATCACCAGTCCCCTCCCTCACACATTTCTGGGGGCCTTTCTGGTGTCCAAAAAAGAAAGCCACGTGAATAGTCACAGGTGGGAAGGATGTTGTCATGTTTATGATGTTTCAAATGCTGGGAAAGGGAAAATGGGAATCACAAGCATTTGGGAAGAGTTAACAGGACTTGTTTTCAAAATGGAGTGGGAGGTTACAAAAGCTGTGGTTAGAGCTGGAGATTAACATTTTTTTAATGAAATTCTCACACCCCCGACTAAGATGATACTGCTCACCATTCAAGGGCACGCTCCTCTCCTTCATTAACCCTCCAGTGGAAACCCTCCTCCTGTTCACTTGGAAAATTATTATTCTTTACTCTTTAATAAATAAATGGTTTTTAAAACGATACTGGTTTCATAATATCTGTGTATTAAATTACTATTTGAAAGCAATATTTAAATTGATTTAACTCTTGGGCACAGATTGCTTCCATTGTTATTACTTTTAATTAATCTTGGTTTTTGTACCAATCAATGTCAGGACATAAAGAGTAAACTCAAATTGGGAGAGCTTAAAAAAGCGATAGGTACAAAGATGTAGGCTGAGTTTTGGGAACCCCCTGGTGGTGGGGAACCTGGTAATCACTCCTATGGGCCTGAAGGAGCGAGGACAGGGGAAAAGGTAATAGACACCAAGAAGGAGAGAGAGCCACACGGGGGAGAAGTACTGTGACAGAGGCTGTGGCTGCAATTGAAGGACATGGCCATCACAAGGTGGCCACTCAGGAAGGAGCTGACTGAGGGACTAGCACCCAGACACTGCTCTTCTCCCACTTTCATCTCCTGGCAGGAACCCCCACTGCACAAACCTAGTCAGAAGCCAGAAGCTGAGTGTCATCCCTGCAGGTCTCCTTTCCCGAAAAAGGGGTCTGGAGGTACACACAGAAAATACCCTCACTGCAGAAAACAAAATCCCTTATTTCTCTCTGAGGGTTGGTGTTTCATAGCATATGGACTGCTGAGTCTACAAAACCTCAAAGGAGAAAAAGAATCCCTTTGGTCTTGACCTGGAGAGGGAATAGAGCTCTAGAACTCCACGCTCTTCCCTAAGGAGGTGATTGGCACTAGAAGGGGGAGGTGTGTACTCTTCTCTCTGATGAAAGTTTAAGTTTTATTGTCCTTGTCCCAATTCTGTATGGCCACCATCCTTTACCTATAACTCCAAATTCCAAACTACTTCTGAAAACTGAGAGTTTTTCCATACCCTCCTTGTCAGCAAAACATAATCTATTGACGTGAACTATTTATAGCCATTATCTATCCCACGTAGTGTGAATAGGTCTATGTTTTCTCGAAGCAAAATTCTTTAATCATCAAAGGCTTCCCCAGATACTGCATTATGTAATATAATCATATACTTTTAATACACATACAATGTATATAATATACAATATATGGCTTTTCAAAACTCCAAATCACTTCCAAAATCTCTTTGGCTCCTGTGTCTTTAGATCAGAGATTTTAGACTTGTGTTCTCATTCACACATTGATAATATTCTTTAGGGAAGAAATAAAGAGTGTTATGTTTTTCGTTTGTAATTAATAGGCTTTCTTTACCTAGAATTTAACTCTGATATAAAATATAAATGTCTTTTAAGTCAAAATTAGTTTTTTGAGTATCTCCCTGCTCTTTGGAATAATATGCAAGATTGTGAAAGATAATAGACTATACAGTACAGAATTACAGCAGAAAAGAATGAAAGATCTAAAGAAATACCCAGAGAATTTACTGAAAAGACTATTTGAAGGGTGTGGTCAGGGTCAAAAGTCTTTGCTTAAGAGAATGAATTCTCATGCCAGACTTTTTGTGTTCAAATCCCAGCTTCACCACTTACTAGCTATATGTTCTTGGGCTAATTACTTAACCTCTTTGTGCCTAATTTTATATTTCAATAATATAGCAAAATGCTATTTAATTGATTTTGCACAACCACCATCTTGCGAAGTATAGAGGACAGGCAACTATCCCTTTGACACATGAGGAAGGCAGCCAAGTTAAGATATTTAGCCAAGGATAGGAAGTGAACTTGTGGTAAGTGAGGACTTGTGGTCAGATCTCCCCAGTTCCAAGTTAGAGCTCTTTGCAATTCCTTACCTGCCTCTTGTAAGGAGGCTTGCCCCTTCCTGACTCCTCCAGATGTTCTGGGCCCAGCCAATTCTCCAACAAGCAGGACGAGCTTCTGGTTGTTTGCAGAAGTATCAGCCTTTGATATTCTTTGTTTCATGTCTCCACCTCGGTGACTACCCCAACTTGATCTAACAAACAGAAATCACATGATCCAGATGGTGTCATTTTATTCTGCCTGCAGAGGAATCAGGGATGAGTGAGTGGGTTTGATTTTCTCAGGAGAATTCAATGCTATTTTCTCTTAAAAGGAAGAAGCAACATTGAATTGTTGTTGTTTTCTGAATGCATGGGTTTTTAACATGCTGAACCGTAACTCTGCAGGTAGAAGTAAAATAAAGTCACACATAATATCATTTCTCACCTCCCTAGGCCTGGTTGGAAGGAAAGCAGAGCCAGAGGGGAAGGTTGCCACACCTCTCTGTCCTCCTGTCCCCTGTTCTCCTATCTGTGCTTTTCATGGATGGAAGCCAAATGGAAGCCTGAGGGCAAGGGAATCCATGGAATCAGCCTCTTAGAGCACAGAGCAGGGCAAAGATAGGTGGAACGTGTTCCCAGGTACCTGTGGGGTAAATGGAGAACAATCAACCCAGAATTCCACCAACACAAATAGCAAAGGGCATCTGCATAGTGGAGATAGGTAATATCTTTAAAGAAATAGTAATTCACAGGAGGAATCCATACACTGTAGTAATGTAACCACGCAGAAACTTAATTTCTTTGATATTGTTTTTTCTCCTTTCTTTCCATTTGATTCAAACTGGCCTCATTAAGCACCCTGACTCACTGGCTTTCTCCCTCCCTTGCATTCCTACTCTCTTAATCATTAAGCCCTTGGGACAGTAGCCCTGGTCAACATTAAACAAATTTAAAAACAAAGCCTCAGGTTTATTGATCACAGGGACTTAGTTTCCAATTAAACTAAAAATAACATCTAGGACTCAGTTGAGTTGCAGCTCTAGACCCAGGAAAGCAGGACCAAACCAGATGAAGTGATCCCGCATCTGACATCAGGACAAGATGCAATGATGGACTACCCTTTACCCTAGTGCCCTCCGATCAGTATAGACCACAACCCTAGCTCCCTTAGTCAATGTGATTAATGAGTTTTACCCTATATAACCCATCCCCTGGAAGCCATGGGTGCGCCAGGCCTTTGAGTACCAGCCTGCCTGTGACTCCTGGCGTGGTGCCATTTCCTCAACTAATAAACCTTTACTTTCTTAGCTGCAAAATCCTGTTCACAGAGCTTTGATGTGCACAGGCAAATAGACACCTTCAGTCTGGTAACATTACTTATCCATTGCTGTGGAAAAAGTTACCCCAAATGTAGCTGCTTAAAACAACAAATATACATTATCCCACAGTTCCTAAGGCTCAGGAATCTGTCAGTGGCCAGCTAGGTGGTTCCAGCTTGGGTATCTCATGAGATTGCAGGCATTGGAAGCTTGCACTGTGCTTGGAGGATCTGCATCCAAGATGGTTCAGTCATGTGGCTATTGGTTGGCAGCCTCAGTTCCTCACCGGCTGCAGGCAAGAAGTTTCCATTCCTGGCCACGTAAGCCTCTCAGAACTGCTGCTCTCAAAGTAGTAGCTAGCTTCTCCCAGAGTGAGTGACTCAGGAGAGAGCAAGGAGGAAGCTACATTGTCTATTTATTAACTATCTTCAGAAGCCTAATACCATCACTTTCGCCACATTCCATTTACTAGAATTCCTAAGTTTAGCCTAGGGGAGGGGAACTAAGTTCCACCTTTTGAAGTGAGTAGTAGTTAATAATTCAAGAACCTATTTCAGGACTTCTGGCCAAGACAGAGGTGTAGGTAGACACACTGTGCCTCCTCACACAACCAAAATAAGAACGATGAAAATGTAGAAACAAGAAAACAACCAGAACTGACAGAAAATTGAACTCTATGGAAGTCAGACAACCAAGGAGTTAAAATAGAAACATTCATCCAGACCCGTAGGAGGGGCAGAGTCCAGCAGCCTGGCTAAGAGGACTGACAGCAAAAAAAAAGTGGTGCTTTGTGGACCCAGGCACGCAAGACAGCAGCAGGTGGACCCTGGGCATGCAGGCAGTGGCTGGCAGACACAGCGAGACGTTCAAGGTGGCTTGTGGACAGGGTGGTCCCACATTCCCATGCAGATAAACCAGGCAAAACTGAGGAGCAAGACAGAGAAGCAGACTGCGCAACCCAAGGCTCCAGCATAGGAAAATAAAGGCTCAAAACACTGATTGAAAACATCTGTGGGGGTTGCGGTGCTGAAAGAGACTCCCAGCCTCACAGGAGAGTTTGTTGGAGAGACCCATAAGATCCTGGAATGGACACAAGCCCACTCACTTGGGAATCAGCAACAGAAGGACCCAGTTTACTTGGGAGAAGCAGTGGAAGTGACTGAAACCCAGCAGAGTGGAGCAAGCACCATTGTTCCCTCTCAGACCCCTCCCCCACATATAGTGTCACAACCCAGCGACTGGGTTGACCCACCTGAGTGAACACCTAAGGCTCCGCCCCTCACCACGTAACAGGCGTGTCAAGATTTAAAAAAAAAATGGTCCAAACAGAAGAACAAACCAAAGCTCCAGAAAAAATACAACTAAGCAACAAAGAGATAGCCAACCTATCAGATACACAGTTCAAAGCACTGGTGATCAGGATGCTCACAGAATTGGTTGAATTTGGTTGCAAATTAGATGAAAAAATGAAGACTATGCTAAGTGAAATAAAGGAAAATGTGTAGAGAACCAGTAGTGATGGGAAGAAAACTGGGACTCAAATCAATGGAGTGGACCAGAAGGAAGAAACAACCAAACAGAAAAGAATGAAGAAACAAAAATTCAAAAAAATGAGGAGAGGTTTAGGAAACTCCAGGACATCTTTAAATGTTCCAACATCCAAATTATAGGGTTACTAGAAGGGGAGGAGGAAGAGCAACAAGTGGAAAACTTATATGAACAAATAATAAAGGAGAACTTCCCCAATCTGGCAAAGGTAATAATAGACTTTCAGGAAGTCCAGGAAGCTCAGAAAGTCTCAAAGAAGTTGGACCCAAGGGGGAACACACCAAGGCACATCATAATTATATCAGCCAAGATTAAAGTAAAGGAGAGAATCCTAGAAGCAGCAAGAGTTAAGGAGACAGTCACCTACAAAGGAGTGCCCATCAGACTGTCAGCTGATTTCTCAAAAGAGACCTTACAGACAAGAAGGGGCTAAAAAGAAGTATTGCCAGTCATGAAAGGCAAGGACCTACATCCAAGATTGCTCTATCCAGCAAAGCTATCATTTAGAATGGAAGGACAGATAAAGTGTTTCTCAGATAAAGTCAAGTTAAAGGAGTTCATCATCACCAAGCCCTTATTATACAAAATATTAAAGGGACTTATTTTATCTAAGAAAAAGAAGATAAAAAACATGTAAGGTAAAATGACATCAAACTCACAATTATTAACAACCACACCTAAAACAAAAACAAAAGCAAACTAAGCAAACAACTAGAACAGGAACAGAACCACAGAAATGGAAATCACATGGAGGGTTAGCAATAGGGGAGTGGGAGGAGTAGAGAATGGGGAAAAGGTACAGAGAATAAGTAGCATAGGCAGTAGGTAGAAAATAGACAGGGGGTGGGGCAAAAATAGTATGGGAAATGTAGAAGCTAAAGAACTTATGACACATGGACATGAACTAAAGGGGGGAAATGTCAGTGGGAGGGGGTGTGCAGGGTGGAGGGGAATGAAGGGAGAAAATGGGACTACTGTAATAGCATAATTAATAAAATATATTTTTTAAAACCTATTTCAAACCACCATACATTCACAAGGAGATTAGAAGGAAAAATTGTTCAGGGTGATTTTATAATAGAGATGAAAGGATGGTCTGCAAAAGACCTGGGAGGATCCAGGAAGAAGGTTCTCAGTGCCTTCCCACATTCCCCTCTTCTCCCAGACACCAAGGATCTCAGGACTACCTGGTAGTGGGGCCCTACTGGGTCCCATTCTTCTTGGCAATCCCTGTGCCTTCCGAGTCTTCCTAACTCATTATTGTATCTACCCCATTTCTGTTTGTTTTTCTTGGTTACCTATTCTTGGAAAAGTTAAGCTAATTTGATTGGCATATTTGTGGCTTACAATGTACCCACAGATCCCTTGTAGCAATTACCTAAGTCTAATAAAGCTCTATCAGAGGCTTAATAAACCTAAAGAAATCAATCTCTGTAATTTCTTTTACCTGGAAAAGGATGGCTTCAGTGATTCTAGTAAGGCACACTAGCTCCTTAACAATATCATAAAAACAACAGAGTACTTGCTTTCACATTATATAACTTAATTATCCCAACAAAGCTGAAGACCTGTTTATGATATCTAACTGAGAAGAAACTTAGATCAATAGAGAGAGAGAATGACTGAGTGGCAGAAATTAAATATGAATTGTGGGTTTGATCTCCAGCATGGGGCTCCGGCATTGAACTTGGTCTGCTAGGGCGGAGCCCTGAAACCAATACCCCACAACTATCCCCTTAGCCAAACAGGTAGCCCATTTCATGAGCCCAGGGAAATAAGGGAGTTGGCATGAGTTTATTTTATTTTCAATGGTTTGGAAAGAATCATGTGGACACAGAGCAAAACACAATTAGGCTGCCTCTGGGTCTCCAGAAGATGAGGGAGCAGTTCTGGAACTTTTTGTCAGGAACCTTTTATACTCTTAAAAAGCATCAAAGACCCCAAAGAATTTTTGCTTATGTATGTTATATTTATTTAATATCTATTTACTATGCCAATTTATTTCATTTATATTTACCATATTAGAAATTAAAACTGAAAAAAATTTTAAATATCTAACTCATTTAAAAATAAAGTCAATAATACCTATTACATAGTAATATAGCATGTATTAAAAAACTATTTTCAAAGAAATAGAAAAGTAGCACTGTGGTATATTTTTGCAAATCTTTTTAATGTCAGTCTTAGTAGAAGGCAGCTGGATTCTCATATCTGCTTTTGCATTCAATCTGTCGTGAAATCACGATTGGATATCCTGTGGGAAATTCCTCTGTACAGCCATAGGAGCAGGAGGGTGGAAAGGCAGATAATATCTTTATATTGTTATGAAAATAGTTGACCTCAGAAACCAGCACTTTGAGAAACCAGTATTACAAACTCTCTTCATCTTAATTTTGCTGATGACAGACTCTAAACAAGAGAGTTCTGAAATCAGCACTTCGTGGCTCTGGAAGTGTGGCTGACATGCACACACTTCAGGCCACCATGGTAGTTTCAGCATGCCAGGGGAGAGACAGGGATGAATAAAGGGAAGAGTTGTCCAGAGGAATGGAAAAGCCTGGAGGACACATGAGAGCACAAGTGAAATTTTGTTCCTGTGCAGGATTTTTATTAACATCAGCTTCCCATCTTTGTGGGAGGGCTAAGCTTTATTTTCTTTTGAAATGAGGTGTGGCCACACAACTTGCTTTCAGCAGAACAAAGTGTGGCATTTCCAGGAGGAAGTTCTAGGAGCTAGTTTGTTCTTTGCCATAGTCTTTCCCTTTTGATAATCCCCAGTGTTCCATGTGAATATTAGCTGCCCCATGAATTTGTGGTCTAGGATGAGGACAATATTGATGGGGAACAATCCCAGCTAACCCTTGCTGGACACGTAGCACAGTGAAAAACAACATGTATGATTTTCAGCCATTGAGATGTTGGGTTTGTTTGTTGTAGCAGCACAATCTATCTCATTCTGACTGAGACAGTCACCTAACTAGAAAGCCAAGTAAAAGATACAAAATGCACCATTTAATGCACACCTATTGAAACTTTACTGTGCATCAAACACCACACTATGAATACAGATGGCTTAGATTTGGCATCATCCTCAAAGGGCTTATAAACAAACAAACAGTCACTCTGCTGTAATTGCCACTGTTTTAACAAAGGGGAATCTAAGGTATTATGGGAGGGAGAAGTCCTTGAGTCCTGCATCAGTTATGGAACCAGCAAGAAGCAGACAGCATACTTATCTTTGAAGGGATTTTTGAAGGGATGTTTTACCAAAGGGACCATTTTTGTGGTGTGGGCAGGGTTAAAGTGGCCGACAGGGATGCTGAGGCATCCACGGCTATCAACAGAGGAAAGACAACCCCACCTAAGGCTGAAGGGACAAGGATTAGAAATGGTGTTACAGGACCTCATAAGAGTTGGACTCATTGCAAAGGGGCTATGTGACACCAGCTATAGTTCTAGAAGGGCACAGTCATTGCCAGAACCACAGCAAAACAGGCAGGGAGCAGGAGGAATAAATACTCTGATTTCTCTCTCCTGCTCTCTGATCTCCTGTCTGTGTCTCCTACTGGCCAGATCCATCTGTAAACCAGAGACGGGGGTGCCTGGATTATCCAGGTAGTCTCTAAATGCAAGGACAAGTATCCTTATATGAAGGAGGCATAAAGAGAATTAAGACAGAAGAGAAGGAGGCAATGGGATAGAAGCAGCCACAGAGAGAAGATGCTACACAGCTGGCTTTGAAGGTGAAGAAAAGGACCTTGAGCCAAGGAATGAAGCTCTGGATGCTGGAAAAGGCAAAGAAAACAGACCCCAGAGCCTCTGGAGGGAGCTAACCTGCCTACATCATGATTTTAACCCAGAACAACTCATTTCAAACTCTGGCATCTAGAACTGTAAGAGCATAATTTTGTTTTAAGCCGCTAATTTGTGGCAACTTGTTACAGCAGTAATAGAAACTTAAATAGCTTAGAATAAGGATGATTAAGAATCAACACATAGATTCGGAATCTCTGCTTCCTCTAAATTCCAAGGACTGAACACTGGATCAAGTTCATTATGTGATATGACTTCTTACCTGCAAAAATATGGCTTTTGTTCTCTTCATGCCCACACCCAGTTCTCCTGAAAAATCCAGACATTAAACTTAGCAGTGGACAGAGCTTGAACAGTCCTCAGTAGTCCTCAGGCCCTTTGCAAACAGATTTCTGTCAGGCCTGTCCCCACCAGTTTCAAACACACCCAGACATTCCCTCAATCCCTGTAACGTATTGTCTGAATTTTGAATAATAGCATAAGGAATCTGGAGTCTAAAGCTAAAATCATCCCAGCTTTTCTGATGGTCTTGCTGCCTTTGTACTGATCAGTTATACACAGTCAGTTATCCTTTCCTCTCCACTAGTCTTTCAATTATTCAAGACAAGTAACTCTATCCCAATTTCCTAATGCTCTTGGCAGCTAGTATGATCCAGTCAATGTCTGAGTCTTGCAACTCCACAATGTAGTTTTGGATACAATAGATAGGCTAGTTTGAATACCGGTTAGTAGTGTACACTGGTTCACTACTAACTGTGCATTACCATCCAAAATCTTAGAAGACTGTAGCTCTTCATTTTTGCAAGTGAGTGGAGACACTAACCCCGCCATTTATAACACTTAATAAATTTTGACTTCAGGAATCAGATTGTCCTCTTTTTTCTTTCCACTTGTATTTTTATTTTATTTATTTATTTTTAATTGTATTTTTTCATTACCATTTATCCCCTCTATACCTTCACCCACCTCCACCATGCCACCTCACAATAGTCACCACACTGTTGTCTGTGTCCATGAGTTCTTTCTTTTTTTCTTTTTTTGCTCAATTCCTCCACCCCTGACAACATCCCCCTCAGAGCTGTCAGTCTGACCTCTATCTATGAGTCTGTCCCTATTTTGCTTGTTAGTTCAGTTTGTTCATTAGATTCCACATATGAGTGAAATCATATGGTAATTGTCTTTCTAAGACTAGCTTATTTCACTTGGCATAATGTTCTCTAGGTCCATCCATGCTGCTGCAAAAGGTAAAATTTTCTTCTTTTTTATGGTCAAGAAGTATTCAATTATGTAAATATACCATAGCTGTTTTATCCACTCATCTACTCATGGACACTTAGCCTGCTTCAAAATCCTGGCAATTGTAAATAACACTGCAATGAACATAGGGGTGCACATATTCTTTCAAATTAGTGTTTTGGGTTTATTCAGATAAATTCCTAGAAATGGAATTGCTGGGTAATATCCTGGGTTTAAGTCCCAGGTTTGCCACCTATCAACTATGTGACTTCGGGAAAATCACTTAACCTTCCTAGCCCTGATTTTCCTCAGCTGCAAGATTGACATTCTGTTAGTTGCAGGATTATTGTAAGTATTAAATGATGCCTAGCATGGAGCTTGGTGTGTAAGAAGAATTTTAAAGAAGATACCCACTCATTCTATGACTTCCTATATACTCCTTTTCAAAACAGAGAGGCCAAGATTGTTTAAATTCTTTGGGGCACAGTTGGAGAAGTGTATCATGGGAGCTGGTCATCCTACAACCAGGTCCTATACTACTGCGAAGGGAATGAGATGAGTCGTAAATGTACAGGGTCAGACCATGTTTTTATATAAAATGTTGATATTTTATTCCCTATAAAATTTTGGCATTGATTCTGACTTTTCGAAATATTGTATTAAAATATTATTTCTCTCGATACCATACTTTTTTGGCACCATGTTAAATTTTGTGCCCAAAGCAATGTTTACTCACCTGGCCCTAGTCCTGCTCTGCCTACAGTACTTTATGTCAGTCACACCATGACCTAAGCACTGGACCATAGCAGCCAGAGTAGCCTGAGAAAAAGACGTGGAATCTCCTTTGAGTTTGAACTTCTGCTTTCCAAACCCATGAATGCCTAACCCTACCTAGGACCAGAGCATGGGGCGTGGACTACAACTCCCAGAAGGCAGCGCAGCGCGGAGCTCTCGCCCATTGGCTGCATGGGCCCCGCCCCCGCCCCACCCCGCTCCTGCTGTGATGACCCGAGGCAGCGAGTCCCGGGCTGGAATGCTCCTGAATCTCCTAGCGTACTCAGGAGACTCACGACCAGGCCCACAGGCTTCATGGCCGCGCAGCTGGTGTCCCGGATGCTGCGGCGGGTACTGAAGTCCAGTGTCCGGGGCTGCAGCTCAGGGGCTCCGGTGACGCAGCCCGGCCCCGGGGAGCCTTCCCAGTCTGCCTCGGAGGTGAGCCCAGCGGTGTCTGCCTCTTGCCCCTTATAAAGCCCCGCCTGTCTGAGGCCGCTGCCTCTGGGAGGGGCCCCCCCGTGGCTTAATTGGGGTGGGGAGAGGAGTAGAATGATGTTCTCCAGGATGTCCTGTCTCTTCTGGTACTTCCACCAGGGTGGGGGAGGGGGTTCGCTCTTTGGGGTCTTGCTTTAAAAACCTCCCCGCCCATCCGGCTGTGCAACCCCCACCAGGAGTTGAGTGGCTGCTCGAGATGGGAGCAGACGGTAGGACCCTGGGTCCTGTGAGATCTTATTAGTACCCCTCTCAGCCCCGCCTCACACACTCAACCCCTGCCTCCCTGTCCCCTAGCCGAGGTCGTCTGTATATGATCTGGTGTTCTTGTGACACCTGCTGTAAGGGGTGACACTAAAAGTGTCACCTTGGTGCCACCAATAGTCAGTTGTCACTTCAGAAGTCACAGGGCTCTGATTGGTTTCTTGTTTCATTTTTATTTCCCTCTGGAGGGTTCGGCCGCATTTTAGAGCAGCCCAGAGCAGGACCTGGGCTTTTCCAGGTTAGGGATTCCCATGTCTCTTGAGGGTTGGGATCAGCGCCCTCAGCCCTGAACAGCACCCCTCAGAGAGATGCATATCATAAGTTTTAGGTCTGTGGTTCTTTTGTGCACATGGTCAGAGAATAATTTCAGGAGAAACATCTCTTTTTATGTGGTGAAACCTCATTTTTAGAACCATCCAGTCTTACTCTTACCATCTACCAGAACAAGGCTTCGTGTCTTGGGATTCCTTGATCAAGCTCCCTCCACCACACCCACAGCCACTGCCCACTGACAGGGAGCCTAGCTTGCCTTCCCCTCTGGGATAGTCAGGGAAGCTGGCCCAATTGCTGGCAAGTGAAGTTTCCCAGTATCTTTGACTCCTCAACTCCACTGAGGGGAAAAACAGGGAAGCAAGATTGCTGAGAGATCTTTAAACAGTTCAGGAAAAGGGAAGTTTCTTCTTCCCCCTGCCTCTGTCATTTGGTACCTGTACTAAGTGCTTTGGGCCTCAGAGTAAGTCATGGAGTCTGTGTTTCAGGTGGGAGGACTTATTGACACCAACTTCCCTGGAGTGACAAGGCTGCAAAGGGGAATTCAAACTCTGGGAGGAGTGTCCAACCTTTTGGTGTCTGCACCACACTGGAAGAAGGAGTTATTTTGGACTACACATTAAATACATTGTGACACGTAATCACAGAAATATCTCATAATGTTTTAAGTAAATTTACAATTTTGTGTTGGGCTGCATTCATAACCCTCCTGAGCCACGCGTGGCCCACAGGCTGCCACTTGGACACCCCTGCTCTAGTGCCTGTGGGGAGAACAGGGAAGAGGCTGCCCCTCTCATTCCTTACAATGTGGGGGGAGCTATAATTAGCAGGTAAGAGCAGGGACTCTGGAACAGAATGCCTGGATTTGAATCCCAGCCTCCCCACATACTAGGTGTATGAACTTCACCTCTCAGTGCTTCTGTCTTCTCATTTGTAAAGTGGGAATAATAGTGTCTGCTCCATAAGGTAGTTATAGGGATTAAAGGAGTTAATGTATATACATGCATACTTAGAATAAAACCTGGCACATGTAAGTGCCATGTTAAGTATGCATTTGTTGTGGTTATTATTATCTTCGTTGCCATTGGCTGGTGCTGTCATCTTTCAGTGCCCTCCTACCTGGACATTGAAGATAGTCATTCTGTCAGCTGTTTGATCACAGACCTCCCATTTTGGACGCTCCTCACTAGGGTTATCTTCAGCAGACAGGTTGTTCCTTGAGTGCTGGATGCTGCCCACCTTTCTTGGAATTTCCTCACAGTGTTTAACACTGTCATCTGCAGGCACTGAAGTCAGCAGATATTTTTGGCTTTTTGGGACCCAACTAGTGAGGGGGCACACATTGTAGGAAAGCACAGGAAAGGAAGCCCCAAGTTTTCACCTTTGCTCTGCCTCCAATTTTACCTGGCCCCTGGGGTGGTCACTTCTTCCCTCCTCAGGTCTTTAAAACCAGAGGGTTGATCCAGTCCATATTTACACAGTGGGACGAGGGCACAGACTGTCTTTAAGAGACTCTCAGAGGTGAGACAAGTCTGCAGATTATATGTATATGTATATGTATATGTATATGTATATGTATATGTATATGTATATACTCAGCCTATCCTTGGAGCTTGCCCATTGGCAAGAGCAGGGCGGGGGAAGGTGCCTGGGACCACGCCCCCCTTTCCCTTTCTGCAAAATGCCTGTTCCCATGACCCCCACAGGGCCTCGGCCCTGTAGTTTGGGGTAGGGAGTTGCTTGGAGAGACAGACAGGAAAGCCACTGGGTACATAATATTCTGTGGTCAGGGTGTGGGTGTAAGAGAGATGTAAGGAGTGGAGTGGGAGCCGGCTGTGAGAACAGTGGGAAGGAGTGTCCGAGGATAGGTTGAGCAGCTTCTACATGTAGAAAAGGAAGTGGTGGTGGGTGGCTCAGTGGGGAGGTAAGAAGGGGAGACAGCTACTTGCCATGGTGATTGGGGTAGCCCAAACTGTCTTCTCTATAGGGCTTACCCCAGTCCAGAAGCACTGCACCCCTTTTTTTCCCCCTAAGGCTCCATGCAGGCTTTGTTGGGGCAACAGAGGGCTGGCCTCAAGTCCTGGGCCTGCTGCTTGGGACAGCGGGGAGAGGGACTGTGCAAGACCAAGGCGTCCAGCTGTGCAAAGGGCTGGGAAGAAAAGATGTTGGAGAGGGGGTTATGGGGGAAGGAACCCAGCATAGGAGAAGGTAGGAGGGGACAGCAGGGCTTGGCCTGGGACAGGACACATGGAGGGAAAGAAGACAGAGGGACAGCAGTGTGTTTTCTTAACTCCCAGCCTGCCTAGCTCTTTAAAAGTTTGCTCTGGTAAAGTGTGGCATTTCTTGTCAGGAGCCAGAGATGTGAAGACTTCACACTTAGTCGTGGGGACGAGGGAGAGGCAGGTGCTAGGCCTAAGTCCTCTCGCGTATCAGAGGTTACTTTTGAGGCACCCGTGATATACATCACCACAAATAGCAGGTCAGTCAGGGCCAATCATATTTGCGTTTGGCATGTACTTTTTCTCTTGAATAACCCCACTACTTACCATATACTGTGGAGCTCCAATTTTACCTGGACCCTGGGGTAAGGTAAAATTTTACCCCCACTCCCCAGGGGCTGGCCTTGAGCATTGAAATCAAATACCCAAGGTTATGAATAACAGCTAGGGGAGGCACTTAGTTCCTTTGTACCACCATCCCCCACCCACTTCTCCATCCCAATCTGTACTGGGCAGGGAGACAAGACAACCAGTAGCAGGTGGTAGGCTGCTGAGTACCTGGTTAGTAGCACTAGTATCGGTGGTCCTGGAGGGGCACAGGCACCACTGTCCTGCTTTGGGTGCATGACAGCAAGTCGGAAATCCCAGTTGTGGCCCATCTTGCAGGACTGAGGAAGCTGACAAAGGTGGGAGGACTAGTCACAGCACAGACAGCTAGTGCTCCTCATGAAATAATTGTTTGATGACTGAATATATGTAAGTAGGAGTTATTTTAAGAAAATGCCAGGAATCACATATTTAATGCCTACTCTGCCAGGAACACCTCCCATTGAGTTATGTAGAATTTTTATCCACACTTTATGGATGAGAAAACTAAGGCTTAAAGAATTTAGCTCAAAGGCTATGGTAACAGAGCCAGACTTGTAATTCAGGTTTATCTACTCCCAACTACCCCTGGAGTAAAACAGCAGCTTTTCCTGCTGTGGCTGGGCCATGGTTCTCAGTCCCTGCTGCAGAGCAGGAAGCTGAAGACTTCAAACAAAAAAGCAAGGCTGGGCGCATCCCAGAGCAGTTGAGTCAGAGTCTTTGGTGTGGCTCTGGCGTCAGCACTTAACTCTTCAGGTGATTTTGATGTGCCAGAGGAGTTGAGAATCACTGTACTAGGTAGCCTAAACCATTTTAATAGTAGAGTCCAGCCTGGAAGTGAATGATGTAACTATGTAACATCCAGTTACTCCAGTGTAACTGGAGTTTTGCACACACTGCCTTTCTCTGTGGAATTAGGGACCTGTCCATGTGTTCATTGACACAGTTTGCCACTTGCTACCAACATACTGTGTGGACACCAGGATATGGAGACATGCAGGAGGGCTTCCCACACAGGGGAAGCAGCCTGGTAGAGGCTGAGGCCCTGGGAATATGAGCAGCTAAGGGCCTCCTACTTCTGATATGTCCAGCCCTCCTGGCTGAGAGGCATTGCTATCTACCCTGCCTGGTGCAATTCCCTCTGAGTCCTGGGCTCATTTGACTGGCGGTGCTGTGTTTTGCTCTAGGGGATATAAAGCAAAGGGGAAAAAATCTAGAAGTAAAAGTAGGTCGTGCAGTGTTAGAGGAGAAAAGAGGCAGGGATGAAGCTTGTTAATATCGGAAAGGGAGTGTGTGTGTGTGTGTGTGTGTGTGTGTGTGTGTGTGTGTGTGTAGAAGGTGCGTCAGGTACTGGCAGTAGTCTAAACGAATCTAGATGAGGTCACTCCAGATCTCAGCAGTGACATCCAGCCCACCCCTCCCGTGGCCAGGACAGAGTACCTAATTCAGTTCTTGGATGCCCCATTGCAGTGCTTGCTCTCGGATTTTCTGCTGAGTCATATTCCTTGGTCCTCTACTTGTTCCCAATTCCTGGATTTATTTTGGCTCCTCCTTCACCCAGCTGCCTCCCCTGTGTGTTCAGGCCCAGGCATCTTGGCAAGTCTGGAGTTAGCTTCTGGGGTAACAAATGAATGAATTGCAAATAGTGTTGACGGAGGGGCAGGTGCAACATTGCCACAAATCTGGATTACCAGGTATCTGACCTCTTGGACTCAGGTGGCCAATGGGACTTTTGGCTGTGGAATGTCCCTGCCCCACCCCCAAGACTACCAGTGGAAAGGCAGGGGGTGGGGAGGGAGGGAGGAAGGCACTTTAGGGTTATAGTGGACTGCAGTTCAGAGAAATGAATGCTGCTTGCTTGACATGACTATGAGCAGGGTTTCTCAGGGGACACAGGAAACTGGTCTCAGTGTGGGCAGAGCGAGGTCAGTTGGATGGAAACAGCCCTCCCCCAACATACATACTCTCATTCCTCTTCCTCTGTCTCCCGAGCCAATCTATGGCCATTGGAGAGATAAGAACACAAATGCTCAGAAATCAAATTCAGTTCATCTCCAAAGGGATATTTTCCTTAAGCTCTCCAAATGGTTCTAACGTACAGACAGGGCTGAGGAGGTCACTGAAGTAAATGTTTCTCCCTCCTGGGTGCAGGCGAAGTTACCTTGGACTTCAAGAGTGCCTGAGCCCCCTTCTGCTTTCTTTGGTTATACAATCATCATAATCCTGCGTGTTTACCTACCAGCTCCCCTCCCCTTCCTTTACTTAGCCCATTATTCTCTTCTTATTTTACAACTGGGAAAACAGGCCTTGAGAAATTAGGGAAGGGGAGGCGTGACCTTCCCCAGTATGTAAGGTCACACCTGGTGCAGAAACCAGTTCTTGTCCCCAATCCAGAGCCCTGCCCATAGACCTTATGGATGACTGCCAAGGTCATGATTTCTTTGTTATAAAGATTCCAAAGAAATGACTTCTACTGATCTGGTGGGCTGTCTGTCCCATGTATCTTCTTGGACTCGCCCTATGCAGTTAGACAAAAGAATTTAGAACTTGGAATCAGAAGACCTGGCGTGCCAGGGGTACTCTTGGAAGCCAAGCCTTAGTTCTAATAATCCTTTATGGGGAAAGTGTGGGACTTGAAGAGAGAACATTTTGGGGATCTTAAAGATGCTTTGCAAATGTTCCTTCTTGCAGTGATTATCTCATCAGCATCTGTCTTGACCCAGGGTTTAGCTTTCAAGGTGGGACCAGATCAGACTTTGGAAGAGGTGAGGTTGGCCACCTCCCTTCTCTCCCCAGCAGGAGTTTGGGCCTTGCAGGGAACCTCCAGCAGCCCCCTTCCCTTTAGGCCTCAGACAATGGGTACATAATTCTTCCTTCTGGCAATGGGTGGGGTGAGTAATCTCTGGGTGGTCATTCCAGTCCCCCCATTCTGCCTTCCTGAAGGCCACATTCTGCCTTCCTGTTGGCCACATTCCTTCCGCAGGTTTCCCCACGTATGCTGTCCTTGCCCCAAAGGCTTCTGGGTGAGGGGAGCCCTCCCTGTGTGTCTGCCTTCCTAGCTGCTCCTGATGGCTTGGCCTGTTGGATCCTCCTGAGCAGTCGGGACGCCTGGCGGAGCCCGGCCAACTGGGAGACAGTCATGGGGGAGACGGCTTTTGTAACACCCAGCCCCAGAGTTAGTGATTTTGCTTTGAGCCCCTTCTGTCTCCCATTGTAAAGGGAAGGAATGGGAGGCCTTGGCTGGAGAGGTGGCTCACCAAGTCCCAGGCAGTGCAGTACGGTGCCACTGTCCCTCTCAGTTACTCCCTCTCTCCCTCCTCCTTTCTGGACCTGCTTGCCAGCTGGCATGGTTGCCGAGTACCGAGTGGCATATTCTCTCCCAGTGACCTGCCCAAGAGATACTGGAGATATTTGTTCCTGGAGAGGCTTCCTTTGAGGGAGGGGTGGGCATGCCCCGCAGAGGTCCCACTCCCCCAGGGGCTGAGTGTCAGGGACTGGGGATAGGCCGTTCCCTCAGGCCAACCTGTGGATGAGGGCCAAGTCCAGCTCTCCCCGGACTGCAGAACTCACATGGATGGAAAGGTTACAGGTGCTGCTGCACAGAGTCAGAGATTGGGGGTGTTAGTGGGAGGGGGGCTATGCCCTAGAAGTGGGCTTTCCTAGCCCCACTCCTCTAAGTTTCCTCCCCATCCTGTCCTTGCAGGAGCTGTCCAGGCGGAGGCAGTTCCTCAGGGAGTTTGCGGCCCCCTTCTCTGCCTTCCTCACTGACGGCTTTGGCCGCCATCACAGCTACCTGCGGATCTCCCTCACTGAGAAGTGCAACCTCAGATGTGAGTCTGCTTCCCGGGCCTCTTTGGGCTCCTGCTCCCCTGCTGAAGTCTCTCCTTGTCAGGAATCCTTCTCAGTCCTCCCAACTCCTCTTTCTACCTTCCCCACAGGGGCAAGATTGGGGTCTCAGCTGAGTTTTATGATCCTGGAAGCTGGGTTCTACTGGGATCAGATTTGAGAACAGAATTGCTGTTGTGTTTGGGATTGAGATTGGATCTCTGTCCCTCACTCATCAGTGTTCTTTCTTCCCCCCTCCTGTCGCCCTGAAGTGCCCAAAGATCAGGCCACACTAGACACTATAAACATGTGAGATCCATAGTCCTCGTTTCATGGTCTCCCGTAGACCGCTGTGGGCTGTATCCACCGCTGCGTGAAGTTTGTTGGCCCCTTCCTTCCTCTCTCCCTTCCTTCCTCCTCTGTAGCTCACAATAGAAATGTGTTTACTTCTTGGCTCCATAAATATATGTATATAGTAAATTTTAACCAAACAGTACTTACTCCATGCAGCACTGATATTCTTACATGTTCTGTTGAGTCTTAAAATACCAATTCTGGACCCTTCACTAATTTGGCTAAATGATCTTCTAACAGATCTTGCCAATCCTTGATAACACGGTACCGCTGGAACTGATGGTGGGGATGGCTCCCCTTCACCTGCCAGGGCTCACCTCACTTACCCCATTCTGCTACCCTCACCCTGAACATGTAGTCCTGGAGTTTCCCAACCTATGAGACAGCACTGACAATAACCTGAAGTAGGCTGTTCACAAGAACACTTATAGCTGCAGAGAACAGCGGCTTTTACTAGGCCAGAGAATTCTTCATAGCCTTTTTTTATCCCATGATGAACACACAGGCTTTATTTGCCAAAACTAGATGAATTGAAAAAGGGTGAATAGTGCCAAAAGGCAAGGGCCCAGGAGCCTGGCCCTCTAGGCAGGCCAGGCCCAGCACTGCGGAATCAGCATCTTGGTGACCCCCTACCTCAAGCCAGCCTCCGACATCTGCCCAGTTATCTTTAACTGCCACTCTCAGCTCCCCCACTGTGGGAGGGAATGTTACCATTTCATAGGGACAGAGAGAATCTGGCCTGGGGTCTGTACTGCCTCATATTTGGCAAGGACTCTCCTCACTGTCTGGGTGGGGTCCAGGAGAAAGTTCTGGCCTGGTAGGGGCTTTGGGACGGGACACATTATCGGTATGACTGCCGTCATCCCTCCCCATCCCCTCCCTGCAGGTCAGTACTGCATGCCTGCGGAGGGTGTCCCACTGACCCCCAAGGCTGACTTGCTGACCACAGCGGAGATCCTGACACTTGCACGGCTCTTCGTGAAAGAAGGCATCGACAAGATCCGGCTTACGGGCGGAGAGCCGCTCATCCGGCCGGACGTGGTGGACATCGTGGGTGAGTTGGATGAGCGCTGTCCCCGCTCCTCCCAGCTCTCCTCTCATCCAGCCGAGCTCCAGTGTTGGTATTGGCAGCTAACGTTCATTGAGAGCATTATGCTTGCTAGGTCCTTCCACCCTCTGAGACAGGTACCATTATCGTTCCATTTTGTTAAGAAATAAGGCACAGGGAAGTTTAATAACTTGCCCAAGGTCACAAAGCTGTTAAGTGCCAGAGCTCAGAGGTGTGCCGTCACATTTATTTATCTATTTACTTGTATTTCTTGATTTTAATGAGAGAAAGGAACAGGGAGAGACAGAGACATTGATTTGTGGTTCCACTTATCTATGCATTGCCATCACATTTAGACTAAAGTCCTCACCGGGCCTGGAGGCCCCCACGATTGGCCTCTGCTCCTCCCTCCCCACTCCGGGCCCAGTGCCAGGCCCTCGCACTTGCTGTTCCCTTTCTGGGGGTACAGGGCTTGCTGCCTGCCTCATTCCGCTCTCAGGCCTCCTGGACCACTCTAAAGTACATCCCTTATGCAGATGTCAAATTATAACCTGAAGCATAAGTCAAAAATAAGATAATAAAGTATGAATACACTTCCACATAGACACTCCAGCCACTGTCTGTCCTAGGAGTTGGCAAAGCTACAGCCCCCAGGCCGAATCTGGGCTACCACCTGTTTTTGTGTGACCGGCAAGCAAAGAACAGCTCTTGGGTTTCTGTAGACTGAAAAAAAAACAAAACAAAACCCCAAAGGATTGGATTTAGTGACCCATGAGAATTATATGAAATCCTAAACTCACTATCCATTAATAAAGTTTTATTGGAATGTAGCCGCACCTCTCATTTACACATTTCCCATGGCTGCTTTGCAGAGTCAAGTGGTTGCAACAGAGACCATGTTGCTGGCAAAGCCATAAATATTTACTGTCTGGCTTTTTGCCTTTTTTTGACGTTATGCTATTTGGTTGTATGGGTTTTTTGTATGGTCTCTCTCCGCCATTCACTAGCACGCAAGCCCTCAGGGAGCCGTGGCAGGGTTTGTTCCCAGCTGTGTTCCCAGCCCCTGACACGCAGGTGGTGCTCACGGAGATGTGTGGGATCAGTGGAGAGTGGTTCAAAGTATGATCTCTGAAGTGTGATCCAGCCACGTGTGAGTCTCTGCTGTGCCTCTTCCTGACAGCAAGTTTTAAAATCCAAGCCTTAGGATAGATACAGTACCTAAGTTATGGTGTTGAAATGGGGAGGAAACTCGAAGGAAATGCTCAGCATTTTCTGTGGCATGTGCTCTGTAAGGGGTGGCCCTGCACTTCTTCTAGCCCTAAGGTCAGGCAGAAAGAGACCTTTGCTCCTGTGACTGTAGATAATGAAACCAGAGGAAGATAAGGGTCTTTGTTCTTGCTTGCAGAGCCTACTACCCGTTCACCCCCACTCCTGCCCCAGCTGCTCTGGGCAGGCTCTCCCAAGCTCCATGCTCTATGTCTCATTTGCTGGCTCCATAAATGTTCTCTGGAGTGTGTTCTCCTTTGTCTGGCACTGTGCTGGGGCTCAATGAGCCTCAGACACAGCTGTCCAGGACCCACGGCCCATTGACAGAAGCAGCTGCTGGAGCCTGCCATGTGACAAGGAGCCCCCGGAAGGGGCGCGGGAACCCCTGACAGCCCTCTCCTTTCTCCTCCCCATGGCCAGCTCCCTCCACCCCTCACTAGTCACTTGGCCTGGGATCCTGCCATTATTTCTGGGCTGGACAAGCTGTCCCAGGGGAGCTGACCCCCTGTTTCAGGTGGCTCCTCAGCATTTCCAACAGAGGCTTGGTTCCAGGAAAAGGCTGAACCTGCTGACCCTGGCTGGCTGCCAGGCCCAGCCCCCTTGTTCAGGCTACTTTGTCTTCCCTCTGGCAGGCATTCCACCTTAAATCCCTGTGTTTTGTGCCAGGGCCTGTGGGAGAGCAGAGGGCACAGGAGAGCGGTTGGGGGGGGCATCCTGCTGGACAGAGAGGGATGACTGATCAGACTGGAGGACGCAGAGTGCTCTAGGGAAGCTGCCGGCTTGCGAGTGAATGTTTGGGAAGAATGGAGCCAGGAACGTTGTCAGCTGTTTCCACTCTGTCGCTGCCTGGCCGTGTGAACTTGTGCCTGTTCCTTTCCCATTGTGGGCCTCAGTTTCCTCAGCTGTGCTATTCTCCACCTCAAGAGCTTTCCTGCTGTGATGGTCCATGGTCATTTGTCCTGGCTGATAGCAGGGGGACCAGGGTTACTAGTTAGGAAAGGCCCTGGCTGCAATGAAGTTTCTTTATGTTGCAAACCAGGTTCTGTTTCCTGCCTCCTAGGGTGTGGGTTAATGGGGAAAGACTGCCCTCCCCCTCCCCCAGTACTCCAAAAGGAGTGGCAGCTGCAATGTCTTGAATTCCTATGGTGCCCTGCTTGCTAACACTGGCCTCTCTCAGCCAGCTCCTCTGACCTTCCCCAGAGGTACTTCTTCAGAGCAAAACTGCCCTGAGTGGCAGGGCCCAGGAGGGAGCAACAGTCAGCTGAGATGTTCACAAACACTTGTCCCCACCCTCCCAGGTTTGAGTTTCCAGAGACCCCACTCTGGGGTAGAGTGAAAGCACTGGCAGGTTTCCCCGAGCCTGCTGTCTTGATTTCTTGGGGTCCCTGCCTGAAGCACTGTCAGCCTTGGGCCTGGTGCTGCAGAACTTCCCGTGGGAAGGCAGCTGAGCCCGCCCTGGCTCTGTCTGCTGTCATCTGTGATCTTCTCTGCCAAGTCCTAGATGCCCTGGCACTCCTCCAACACAGCCCCTGTGTTAACAAGTTCCTCTGCCCCTTCTTTTCAGCCGAGATGGGTTTAAAGCAGCTCTGTCCAATAGAGCTTTCCCAGGTGGTAGAAGTGTGCGAGAGCTGGGATGTTGGTCCGATACAGGAGACAGCAGCCACAATAACTTTGAGCTTTGGACATGTGGCTGGTGTGACTGAGGAACTGAATTTATAACTTTGTTATATTTTAATTAATTTAATAGCTATATGTGGCTAACAGCTGCTATGTTGAATAGTGAATGTTTGGGATTTCCCAAGAGAAATATGAAAATGGGAAATAAATACACAAGAACTATAATAGTTTTGGAGGAGTTGGCAGACCACTGTTTCGGATCCTAACTTCAAGAGTCACTTGCGACTGTCAGATGAGTCTCACTTATCTTGAGAATCACTGGGTTGGTCCTTCAGCCTTTTCCTTTTTTTTTTTCTTTTCTTCCTCCCTCCCTGTCCTCCTCTTCCCCTCCCTTCTTACCTGTCTTGCGCTGTGTTGTGGAAATGAAGATACAGGGAGCATCTAGATCTCATAGCTTTAAAGTCCATGAGAGGCCCAATGCAATAAGGAAACATTAAGCACTTTCGAAAAGGGGTGAAGCTTTGTTTTTGTTTCATTTTTGATGGACTTTAGTTGATCTTTAATTCATGATAGTCTCATCATTGGTCCATGCATGGCCTGTTTTACTTTAGTCATACTAATTTATTTATAAATTTTAATAATGTTATGCATTCCCAGGTAAGCCAACTACCTCACCAGTATTTTGGGGGGTGGGGGAGAGGATAAGAACATTGGCAATAACTTTTAACCACAGATGTGGACTTCTCTATCCTGTACCTCCCCCACTCAGAGAAACACTCCTAAATTTTGTGTTCATCATTGCTTTTTAAAAATGAGATACAGTGCTTTGAACTTCAAGTATCACACTGTGCGTAGCCATTCAGAGCTTACTGTTTTGACACAGCCGGAGTTCATGCCGGTCGCCAAGTCCGTTCCTCTTCTCTGTGATCTGCTGTCCTTTACGTGAATACTCACAGTCATGTTGGTCATGAGCATTTGGATTGTTTCCCGTTTTTTGATGTTATAAACTTTGCTGCTTTAGACATATTTATTCCCATTCAGCTATCCTGCTGTATAGTTTGTCTAGAACTATAGACAAATAGCTGGGTTACAGAATATGTGAATTGTAGCTTTGGAAGACAGTTTGACATTCTCTTATTAAGTGGTTGTGTTCATTTACACTGTTGCCAGCAGTACCTAAGCAACCCTGTCAAACTCACATCTGCCCTGGCACTCAGTGTTGCCTTCTGGACTATTGGCAGTTCAACAGGTGTAAATGGTATTTTGTGTGGCTTCAAGAATGAGGTCAGTCATCTCTTCATATCTTTATTTTTTATATGCACATGTGTATAAATATATGTATATGTATTTACACATACACATATAAGTACATACACAGAAATACATGTATATATACACGCATATGTACATGTGTTTGTGTGTATATATTTCTTTTTCTGCATAACACGAGGTGGTGTTTTGCCTATTTTTTCAGTTGGTTATTTGTCCTTTCATATTGGTTTGGTAAAAGTTCTTTATGTTGCAAATTTCTTCTCCCATTTTGAAAACAATTGCCACATTTTGTGTAACAGTTCTTTGAAGCAATGGCAGTTCTTAAATGTATCCGGTTTTTATCTTTTATGGTTAGTGTTTCTTGCATCTTGTTAATGAAACTCCTCATCCAAAGTCAGAACAACTGGCTGGTTTTTCACTAAAACATCTAACATTTTGCTTTTTACATTTGAGTCTTTAGGTCATCTGTGGGTGATTTGGGGGCATCCAATTTTATTTTTTTCCATGAGATAGTCATTTTTTCTAGTTTCTTTGTATCACGTAGTCTCCACTTCCTCTGTAAATCTGCCAGGTGGGCATTGCTCTGATTTCGGTTCTGTTCCGTTCTTTCAATTAGTTTGTCTGTCTCTGTGCCAGTGTCATGCAGTCTTCGTCACTGTCGCTGTGTGGGAGGTACGTCTGCCATCCTGCAGGGCAGGAAGCCTCTTTGTTTTCCAACAGCACTATAGCTGTGCTAAGCTTTGTCCATGTGAATTTTAGAATCAGCTCACCAAATTCCATGGAAAATTCTGTTGGGTTATTTTTGGTTTTTTATTGTTTTAAAATACGTGTAACATAAAATTTACTATCTT